CCTGATGGTAGATTCTTGGAGCCAATACTGAAGAAAGAGGATCCATGTTGAGGAAGAAATGATTCAAGAAAACTTCCGTTGTTCCAGCGATGATAAACATTCCTCCGCTTGCACCCACCGCGGCTTTCACTTTACCGTCCTACGCAAACCAAATCAGAAAATAAAAACCGTTGTTTAGAGCCCTATTTCAGAGTTTCGTGTAGCACAAGTAATACGGTTTCTTTCTTTTTACCTTGAGTACAATGGTGGGTGACATAGAGGACAAAGGCCGTTTTCCAGGACGAATAAAGTTAGCCGGTGCCGGCGGAGGCACATCAGGGTTTAGGGATTTCATAGGCATCGAGAAATCGTCCATTTCGTTGTTGAGAACAATTCCGGTGCTCGGAGACAACATTTTTGCCCCAAAGTAATCATTTATTGTAGTAGTCATTGAAACAGCATTCCTTTCAGCATCTATGATTGATAAATGGCTTGTTCCGTGATCTTTGATCTGATTCCATCTACAAAATTGTGGAAAGAAAGATCGAACAAATCAAGAAACATCCGCGGTTTTCAAAAAACAAATTGAATAAAACTTACTTGCCACCGTAATATTTGGGATCAAATGTTTTCTCATCGTTTATCTTACTCTTCAAGTCTTGTGCAAACTTTAGAGACAACATATCCGAAACAACCTTAGGAACATCCGCAACAAAATCCGGATCACCAAGGTTCATTCTAACTGCGAATGCGTGTTTTAAAGCCTCGATTAGTCGATGAACCCCGAGAGGGCCTGAAACGCCTGATGGAATCTCATATTGAGAAAGAATATTCAAAACCTGCAACACAAGAAACTCCAAAAATATAAACCTATGTTTGATGAAATTTTTTGCCAAAAACAAAAGACTTACAAGCATCATTGTAGGACCACCGGATGAAGGAGGAGGCATACCGAGTAATCGGTGTCCAAGTATATCCATAGTTAGCGGTTCTGTAACCTTAACTTTGTAACTCTGAAGATCTTTCAAAGTTACTATCCCTCCTAATTTTTGTATATCATTCACTAGGTTAACCCCAACCGTGCCATTGTAAAACACGTTTGGACCGTTTTCCGCAATTTGACTCAACGTAGAAGCCAATTTCGGGTTACGGACTATTGTCCCTGGTTTCTTGATCTCTCCATTTGAGACAAATATCTCTGAGAGACCTTCATCTGCTAAGAAATCGTCTCTAAAATAGTTCATTTGCATATAAAGATACTTTGAAATCTTGAATCCATCCGCTGCAAGTTTCGCTGCGGGAATCACTAACTGCTTCCACGGTAGCTTTCCGTGCTGTTTCCAAACCGTGAATAGACCCGCGACTTCCCCGGGAACGCCTACCGATAAGGCTCCTTTCCTCTTTAGTTCAGGATTACCACCAAACATATCCTACATCAAGAGAAACAATCAAGAAATGTTTTTTTACTCAAAATCAAAAACGTTTAAGAAAACAATATTAACCTCAAGATTGCATTCAATCGACATGTTTAATTAGAAGAAAGGTTATTTTGGAGGAAAAAAACGTTAAGAAACCTGATTACCTTTACAATATCAAGAAGCAATATACTATCCCATTCTAAACGGATATTTAATCAGAGGAAAAACTTTGTTACCTAGCATATATATATTTCTACATCAAGAGAAACAATTAAGAAATCTATGTATTCAAAAATGTTTTTAAAAATCTATTAATTTCAGATTTAAGTAGTGTTCTAAACGCTTATATGTTAAGAAACGCCATTTAAGTTCAAAGTCACGTTTCGAAACACTGATTTGAAAGCGGTATATTTAAGCTCCATTGCGTTCAAAACGCTTATTTAAGAGGAAAATATCTACTACAGCCCAACATTTCGTTCAAAATATTTATCTAAGAGAGCTCAGAAACACCATTAATCCCATAAATGTTTTACACCAAGAATGAGAACAAAGGTTCTATGATTAAAAAAACATCTAAGGAAAACGCTTAAATATTTTTTTTATATATAATTTCAAAATTTGAACCTAAATTCTTATCTCCATGGATCCGGAATAGTCTATTCTCTTTGATAATATCGAATGGGGATTGATCTATCACAATGGAACCAACTAGCTCACCAAACCTTTTGTGGAAAGGATGATATTAAAACGTATATTTATGGTCAAAGGAAAAAGTAACACATTATGTTACCTCAGAGGCTTTGAGAGGAGCGGTTTCTCTAGAATCATAAGCTATTTCTTTTCCACCAGCCATCTTAACCACTGTAAACGCTCCACCGCCTATACCGCTAGACGCGGGACTCACAACGCCCAAACAAAGTGCAGCCGCTACAGACGCATCAATCGCGTTTCCTCCTTCACAAAGCACACTCGTTCCAATTTCAGAACACCGTCCATCGTCCGTCGCAACCGCTCCTTTATACGTTTCAATACTTTGATGTCTCTTCTGAGCCACAGCGTTTTGCAGAAACGCGATAAGAAGAAGAGCGATTGTTGCTGTTCGAACCAGCGACATTGCTACGATCAAATGGAGAACAACACCAGAGATTAGTCACTGAAGATTTAAGATGAAAATGATACTTTTAACGTTTAGACTACATATATATGTTATAAACAAGATTTTTTTTTTTCCCTTTCACAATAGACTAAAAGACATGTACTAAAGATATATGTTGAACATTATACCTTTTTTGATTTTCATTTTCCTAAAATAATTCTAATTTTTTTGCTTTTTCTGCTCTATTTCCTTTCATGAACAAAATTTCCTCCTTCGTTTATTTTTTTTCCTTTTCACCTCTATATTTACTATAAAAATATCTGGTTTTCTTTTTTTAAATGTTTAGCAGCATTACTTCTTTTTTCTAATTCTTAGATCTTTTCTTAAAAATATCCCCATATTTTATACATCCACTATAATATATATAAAAACACAATATGAAAATTCAAAATAACCCTTTTATCATATAGTATTATATCTCTTA